AATAATAATGCTGATTCACCACTACCGTGATACTATACTTTTGATGGAAACATCACCACTGCTTTTATATTTTGCGACTATATCTAATAGATCAAAGGCAACGTTTACTTCGAAGTGTATATAAACAAAATGTAATGTGATCTGAACGATCTGTATTGCTAAATTCAAATTCTTTACTGGTAGTGTATTGATTTGCTAGCTGTACTTAATAAACAGTAACATTGTTGAAAGTTGACAAGTTATGCTTCATAGCAATATTTGTGTTTCCTTTAATTATTTATTCATATTTACAATAGGCTATAATACAGTGTATTGTGTTACGGACAAGATAAATTCATATTGTAATAGTTTTATACAACATCTGCAAGTATTGTGCTGTTTTTTTAGTGTCATACACATTGCCAATGTTAAAAAACAACACTTTAATCAGTACAAAAATATAAAAACTTACAAAAATAAGGTCATCCATATCCATTGACATACATTTGGTAAAGTAGAGACATACAAAAAACGATCACATATTTACGGACGAAATAGATACATATGTTTCTTGTACAAACTAAACAAATGAATTGGAGAGATTGTCATAAAAAATCAGGAATCATAATTTTTAAATAGTTTTTCTATTCACATTAATAACTTTTAACTCTAAACACATCGCATGTAGCAAAAATGACAAAATCAAATTAAAAACAGTTGTTTAGAGTGTCAAAAAGTCATTGCGTTAGATCAATGTAGAAAATGTAAAGCCCTGACTTCAAATGTTATCATCTCTGCTGTAGATTAATGTGACCTCAATAGATCCACAAATAACATATTTGAAGTATTGACGACTGTAAAAGATATGTGCCTATCTTTTCCGATTGCTTCGATTAGTTTTTGGTCGTTCTTGTTTTTGCGGCGGTCTGCTAATAATGCCCGTCCCCGACCCGCCTGTAGATTCTATTTCTTCAATCATACCCAGGGACTAAAATAAATAAATGCATAGTGTTAAAAAAAATATTTGATGGGCATGTTTGTTTGATGTTTCATATTTCTTTACATTAACAAATATACTGTGTTAACTTGCATAATTATTCTTGTTTTCTGTATCAAAAGTAAACAAAACAACAATAATACTGCACTATGTAAATACAAATGACTTGTTGAGGCTTGATATATTCAATCATTATTAACTTTCTAAAACAATGTTATTTCATCTTGAAAACGATGCATAAATAATGAATTGTGCGACATAAATCATCAATTTTCGGTGCTACAATTTACTGTATCTATATAAAAGGATTTAGGAACGTTATTAGAACTGTCAATTATGCACAGCTTACAATTATAACAACACTGTACATGAATAATGCAAAGCATGCCGTGGGACGTTCATTTGATTACAACAAAAATATTTACAATGACGACATACAAAAGCAGTTCAAGTGCCAGCAGGTGCGCCAGTACGACGTACACTATCAAATTACCTGTGCTTTACGTCTATGCACTTTTTAATTTAGCTTTTCTTACAGCAGCATCGGCTGATTTTATTTCTACCTCTTTAAATTTAGCAGATATTCTAGCGGTTTTCTTTTCGTTATTTTGATCAGCTTTATTTTCTTTCTTTTTATATTTTTTGATATCAGAAACTTTTATACGCCTTTTCCTTCTTTTAGAAGTATGACATTCTTTGTCTCTTTCAGGCGCGTGGAAGGTTTTAGCTCTTTCTTGAGTAATAGGATAGATTCTTCTTCCAGTTGTAATTTCAACTAACAGCTTTAACTGATTTACATCATCGTCGTCTTCATCTACTTCACTTGTACAATTACTGCCAAATCCGCTAGTTACACTTAACATTTCAATATCAACTTGTGTGGCCATATCGGCCATACGTTTTACACAATCCGAACATAAAATACTATTTCTATCATCATCCGCTAGAATAAAGGCTACTTCCCGAATAAAGTCATGCAGCTTGTTAAAGAATAGCATAATTCATTTAATAATATCCTGAATTTTCTATTTTTGAAATCTACACTGTACATTTTTGAGTAATGATATAAGACATGGGCATACCGTAAATTCTTAAGCAAATAAAACACGACTTTTATCTATCAAATTGAGACGGGCTCTTGAACAATTAAGGATCTTCATTTTAAAATGCATTTAAATAAGAAAACTTGTACTTCAGTAGTATGTTAGTTTTTGTTTTTAATGGAGGACTAAATCGAGTTTTAAGAGAATCCAATTTCTTGTTTGTCAGAAAAAATAAAGTATGTGCATCGATTGTACATTTCAGTGATTTTATAGGAATAATCAAAGGCATCGACTGAAGTTATTTTGTTCCAGTATGCAATCTAAGTAAAAGTCATTAAATGGTGTTCTATGGTAGTACATTTATAAGAATTCTAAGAAAGAAAAAGTAAAAACTCATCTATAAACTAGCTATAAGAAATATTTAGATTAATATAAGAGCACGAAAAAAAGGACATTGGTAACTTAAAATTAAAAACATAAAAAGAACATATCTATGAAATAAAAATCTCTCACCCATCCAAAAAATGTAGCAGCCCCAGCACTGACGTCACGAATCTGTGACATTGAATAATTCTCTATCATATGTTTAGCAGTTTGTGCGACAGCTAGACTACAGTCTTTGGGGTCAAAAGATGATATACGCCTCATCAAAGATTCCCGTCCAGTCTTACCCACAAGTGCTTGACATGTGCGCCATTGCTGAAATTATTCCGGTGAAACAAAAGTAATTGTAATTGTAACTAAATTTTTTTAGCTTGAACAATCTATAACATAACTTATCTTTTAACTTTACGGGCGTCATATAGAACTACTTGAATACTTGCATCTTTTAAACACTTTACCAATCGAATCGGCAGGCGACGTACTTATAGTTTAGACACTTTTCCGATCGATACCATCATAACCGTTTTGCGAATGGAAATCTAATTGAAACATATTTCTCATATATCTATTTCTTGAAATACATAAATGCCTTTTCTTTAATTTTGTTTTATTACATATCAAATGCTTATACTTATCAAAGTCATATTTACACTCATCTCATTGTTCTAAACTTTGTTTTAGGTAATTGGTTTATCTTAACCAATGCAGAGACCCACTGGTAGACATAAAAGACTTTAAACAATAAACTATTTGTCTTACCCGAACTTCTTTAGGAGTGTTTCCGAGCAGTATGAAAGTTGCCATCATTGATTGATGAACGCCATCTGGCGGATTAGAATAAGTTTTGATCTCAGCGATTGTCTTGCTGTCTAAGTTGAGCACAGAATGTCTCAGCTTTTCTATCCTCTCCAGCTGATCTCTGAGTCTGTTTGCCAGAGCCAGTTGTAAATCCAGCTGATGGTCGTAATTCACCTCTTTTGCTCGTGCAATAGCTTTCTTTAACGAATCCAGGTCGCGTTTTTGACACGCTTGAGTTAGTTCTTTAAAAAGAGGTGAGATAAAAAAAATTATTATGAAAAAATAAATGAAATTTCCGGCTTGATTTATTTAGTTAGTCAGGCATATTCTGGAAGTATTCTATAGATTTTTAATACTATTCGATTTAGATCTTATTAAAAAATACTTGTGAGCAATACATACATACAAAAACATTAAAACAAGGTAATTGTACATATACAACATATATTTAACATGTAAGGAGACTGAAATTTGGTTAAAAATGAACAGAATAACCATATTACAGCCTTGCGTAAATGAGCACAAGTTTCACATAAAGGTCTCAATTATGTAACTTTCCAAACATAATTAACAATATGAAAAAACATAATTAACAATATGAAAAACATGATCAACAACGAAAGGTGGCATTCAACAAACGCATTCCCTAATACAGGGCCACCGGCAGGGAGCTTAGCAGGACACCAAACAGGACAGAACACAGGGGAAAATAACAACAAAAACGGACAAGATGTCATTATAAATTGTTCCAATAGGAAATCATAGAAACCGACAAGGTAATTAAAAATGAAATTTAATTAGAAGACCTACAAAAGGTTATGGTGTAGGGAATGTTTTCAACATTTGTTCTAAATTTAGACATTTTTATATAACCAGTGATAATGTTCTTATAACATTTTCATTTTGTGATAATAACGATTCAATAAATTTATGTATTTTTGATCTTCTCCAAAAATATTCATTTAAAAGCCGCTTTCTTTAAACATTTCACATGTAATTTGTTACTGTGCATGTATAATTTAAAGATGTGCAATAACCATAGATTATGTACCAGTACTTATGTTTTTATTGAAAGTACCCCCTAGTGGCTGAGGGGTTGCATTATAAGGTTGAGACATCAGAATTGCAGTCACGGTTTATCCACGAGTTATTGTAAAACGCGACTAAATGGGTTCGACTTACAGAAATCAATTTATCTCATAGCTCCATCAAACAGGTGATTAGGTTTTGACCCCTGGTGTTCCGTTACACTTAAAGTTTGCCAAAATCATCTTTCCTGTTTTGGAGACATATGACTTAAATTGTGTTGTTGGTGCGCCGTTAAGCCAAACAAAATAAACAAAACAAAAACTGTCAACTCAACAGAAACAGTGGTCAACCAAACTGATTGGGAAATACGTGCCTTTCAAATTTCTCTGTGACAAATGATCTCCGACATTGAGCATAATGGTTATCTGTGTCTTACAGATGATTCATATATCAGACGGGTTAAGTAGCCGGCCGCTTGTGGAGAAATTGGTGATTATTCAGGCGATATCTATGAAAGTCGATTAGGCGAACCGATCGCCGAGATATCATATATGCAAAATGTGTTAAAATCGGCGTTAAAAACAATCAAACAAACAAGAAACAACTGACGAATTCGATGTCCGTTGCTAATGAGAAAATCGAACTTGGAGTGCAGTTTCAAATGTTCTTTTGTTGTTACAGAAACAAAAAAGTTCTTATTTGAAGTTATAGGTTATTAATATTGATGTCTGACATTAAAAGTTGTATGTAGATTGTGTGTTTTATGTTACCTTCTTTAGCATCTAGTGCAGCAAGCGTCTTTCTAGCTTTAAGCAGAGCCTCGTCATCATACGGCGGGTTTAGTTTCTCGTATGCTTGTATGTAACGTTCTAACATCTCTGGGTCCTTCATGTCAATAGCCTTCTGTATTTGACGTCTGGTCGCACGCCGTTGCTCCTCTACAAGTAAATCATAACAAGTGAAAGCACTGGCAACTAGCCTATATTTGTATAAATAGATTGTTTCGCATATACATGTAGCTATTTTACTTAAATAAAACGCGTTCAATACCTTTATATTGACGTAACATTTTAATACCTTTTACATAATAATAATAATAATAATAATAATAATAATAATAATAATAATAATAATTATATAATAATAATAATAAAACACGTAATGTTTCATCCATAAATTAGTTTCTGTCACAGTGACTCTCAATTAGTGCTAGAAAGTATTGAACATTGTCACGACATTTAACAAACTTATATATTCATTAATGATCAACATTATTTTTTTGGCCAATCACATTGTAGTATTTTTCAAATTTCTGCTAAGTCTAACTTTGGATAATGTGTACTAACTAAATAAAATTTACTTAATCTGTTGTCTAACCAGTCTAACAAATTGCATTATATTAGGGAGGAGTCTAAGCTCTGAATTGTAAAATATCTAGGTTAGCGAAACATTGCCAGCGTAAAAAAAATTAGGCGAGGTCAAGTGTTCCTAAATATGTTACAATCAATTAATTTATTACACAGATAATACATGTGGGGCATGCAGAGACAAACGATTACATAGTAACTTTTTTATATCCTTTTAACTCTAAGAAAAATGTCTGTTATAAATTGCTGACTGTTTTAAACTTTATAGTTTCTAGAAAAAGTAACCAAAACATTATTTTCTTTCACTTGATAGAAATGAACTGCATTAACAATCCTTTGATATCAAGAAAAACAATGATTACATTTTTTGGCTGGAAAACTCATTGAAAATGGACCCCCCCTCCACACTGAAAAAAAGAACTGTTTTTCAAATGAGCAAATCAATAGGGATTTAAAATGTTAGTGAATAATTTGAAGCTAATAACGAATTTGTATAGATCTCTGCACATGCGTATATTGCACTTTAGCGCTCTTCGAAACTTAGCTCCGCCCACTTGCGTTTTATAATATAAAACGTCCAGTTTATATAAAATCTGTTCTATTAAGATTTGAAACCTGAAAATTTGAAAAATCCTCGGCGGTGATTGGCTTAAAAAAATTGGCGAGCACTAACTTTGGATAATGTGTACTAACTAAATAAAATTTACTTAATCTGTTGTCTAACCAGTCTAACAAATTGCATTATATTAGGGCGGAGTCTAAGCTCTGAATTGTAAAATATCTAGGTTAGCGAAACATTGCCAGCGTAAAAAAAATTAGGCGAGGTCAAGTGTTCCTAAATATGTTACAATCAATTAATTTATTACACAGATAATACATGTGGGGCATGCAGAGACAAACGATTACATAGTAACTTTTTTATATCCTTTTAACTCTAAGAAAAATGTCTGTTATAAATTGCTGACTGTTTTAAACTTTATATTTTCTAGAAAAAGTAACCGAAACATTATTTTCTTTCACTTGATAAGAATGAACTGCATTAACAATCCTTGATATCAAGAATACAATGATTACATTTTTTGGCTGGAAAACTCATTGAAAATGGACCCCCTCCACACTGAAAAAAGAACTGTTTTTCAAATGAGCAAATCAATAGGGATTTAAAATGTTAGTGAATAATTTGAAGCTAATAACGAATTTGTATCAATTAATAATCTCTAATGTATTTGTCTCACATTTTCCATTTATTATAAAAGGATGGACTCATTTCATTAACTCCATTGTTTTTACCTAATTGCATCCCTCATTATTTTTTCCAGATATTTTATAGAAACATGGTAGTCTTACTGTAGATAAAGGTAATAATTCTGTGACATTTCAGTAAAAAATGTGCCTGATTATATGTTGAAAGGGCCATTTATTTAGCTTATCTAAATTTGACATGTTAGAAACTTGACAAGGTGTAGACATCTTGTAGAGCGAAAGGGCGGAGCTATCGGTGTTTTAGAGAAATGCCTTGTTTTTGGTTGAAAAAAATAATGTTGATCATTAAATAGGTTAATGTTTAATAATACGCATTAACAAAAATAATTGGTCGCCTGCCTGCGGCAGGCTTGACCAATTATTTTTGTTAATACGCATTATTAAACACTAACCTATACTTAAATTTTGATGTTTTTATGAGCGGTATCATTTTGACATATAGATTCTTTATTTTTGAAAGATTATTTTATTTTGACGAATTAGTAAAAATGTAATAATAATATCTTTACAGTATAGCATCTTACAGATGTCAACGTTTTATTACTGTTGTTGTTGTAGCAGTAAAAGTAGTTGTAAAATAGTTATACAATAAGGTTATAAAAAACATAGACTTCTATTGGAAATAAATCAGGTTAATGTGAAATATGATCAATAAATGCATTGTTCTAAAAAGCCATACATTTACTTCAAGTGATACCTGTTTAAACCAACTGTTAAAACCACCATTGTAATGTTTTATTAAAACGGTTTCTTTGAATGACATGAAAATACAAATTCATCCTGCAGCATTAATAATGCATGTTTTTTGTTTGTTTTGTTTTCCTTAATTTGCAACCTGCCGTTTACCTTTAGTAACATACAATCAAGTAAAAGTCAATATATATGACTATCTATGTCAGGTCGACATTTCATTGCATATCGGAACCGATACGAGTGATTAAAATAACGAGTCGTTATTCGTTTGAAGATTCATTTATATAATTATTTTAGTAATTGATTTTATAAGTAGCCAATGTCATCAACGAAAGCTTTGAAGTTTTTGTTTAGATATTGAAAAACAATATTTCTATACTGACTATTATAAATATACTTGGTTTGTTTGATTTGTTTTACATCACACCGACACAGTACAGGTCATATGGGGCGTTCCAGCTTTACTGGTAGTGGAAGACCTCAGGTGGCTTTCCGTGCATCATTTCAGGCACGAACGGGCTCCTGAGTAGAACCACTGATGTTCCGATATATTCTACGACCTATATATGCATTTCAACAATCGAGACAGAATAGCATTGAACTAAAAGAAAGCGCATGCATTTTACATTTTGAGATAATAAAAAGTACTCTGAAGCATATGACGTGTTTTAAAAAAAATGTAAATTATGTAGCAGAATTAAACAGGTAAACAAATTATAGTTATATAATATGTGATACGTCTATTAAAGTAGGGGATTGTCTTGCCAGTCAACCATGTACATACGGTGTTGATAAAGTTGGAAAAAATGCAAACTAGTGAATAGAGTAATAAATATAAAGCAGCGTAAATAAGCATGTCAAAATTAAGAACATGTTATCCTAACAAGTCTTTTACCAACAAAATGGTGTAAGCCTTAGAATTTCAACAGAAATAGACAGGATGTCAATGTATATTGAGATATACATTGTATTGTTCCTAGTTGAGTGTACAATTTAATAATGCCTAAATTAAGACGGTGATAAAGAATCAATTTTAACCTATTAAAATTTAAGCAAGCAATAAAGGCAAATTTGAACACTTCTTAGAAATGTTTACTTACTTCTGAAACGTACTATTATAAGCCTGACTTGAAAGTTGATTAAAGATCGTTTATTGTTTAAATAACTATTTGAAGATGATAGAATTGAATTAAGTTAAACAAAAACAAGCAAATTTGGTAACTGTCTGAATTATTCATGCCTAACTAATGTGAGATCTGCATTTACAATATAAACAATATCCCTTTATATAGACTTTTTTAAATTCTTACACCACCGTATACTTCAAAGTTAATTCTGGACCTTATTACATTATAAATAATCTCACATCTATCTTAAATCATTCGTAGTTTTTTTAAGTGAGCTCATTTAATAAACATCAAAACTTCCGTCAATTTGGCAATGATAAATATTATTTTTAAAGTTAGTATATAATGAAAGAGAAAGAAACTGGTCGATTACCTGCTTACACAGTACAACATTCAATATTCAAATACTGCAAGGTTTTCACAACAACAACAACAACTGTTGCACTATAACTTTATTGAATATGTTGCATCTAATTCTTTGGGTAACATGTTAGTGATTAAGCGTTTCGACTGAGGACACTTAATTGTTGCAGTTTTTATATTTAAAAGACTGAATGAAAAAATTTTAATTGAATTTGTTTAAACTGAGCAGAACCATAGAATATAATAAAAGAAACGTGTTAAGTACATCACTTTCTATAAATATCGTGTGTTTCACATCATGATTTTTGAATGAGATCTCAATAAAAAACTAATTGTAGGTTATCTGGAAAAAACTTCACATCGGACATTCTAAAAACAGACATTTTGAAAGACTAATAAACACAAGAATTTGTAACAGAGTTACCAACGTCCCCCGCCTCGGGGAAGTTTTATATGAATCATAAAATTTTGCTATTTCAAAAGATTTAGTTCTGGATTTCAGGACTTTCAGTCCAAAATTATGATCAATGCTAGATCTGCAAATGCAACAATAAATTTATTAAAGAAATACTAGTAAAATGAAACACGGAATTTAAAATTCTATCATGTTAACCTTTGACCTCTAAGTGTGACCTTGACCTTGGAGGTCTTATTAATATAACTATTTGTGCCAAGTATTTTCAAAATCCCTTGAATTATGTAGAAGTTATAGATCAGACACAAAATATACCCCATAACACACTATGTCAATCTTTGACCTCTAAGTGTGACCTTGGAGGTAAGGACCCATGTTTTGCGCCTGACATATCATATTATTATTGTGATTATTTGTGCAAAGTATTTTTAAAGACTGGACACAAAATATACCCTTTAACAGAATATGCAAATCTTTGACCTCTACTTGTGACCTTCACCTTGGAGGTAGGGACACATGTGTTACGCATGACATATCATCTTATCATTGTGACTATTTGTGCCAAGTATTTTCAAAATCCCTTGATCTATGAAGAAGTTATAGACAGGACACAAAATAAACCATATAACAGACTCTCTTAAACTTTGACCTCTAAGTGTGACCTTGACCTTAGAGGTAGGGGTGCAGGTTTTGTACCTAACATATTGTCTTATTATTGTGACTATTTGTGCCTAGTTATTTCAAAATCCTGAAGAAGTACAAAATATACCCTAAAACAGACTATGTTAACTTCTGACCTCTAAGTGTGACCTTGAACCTGGAGGTAGGGATGCAGGTGTTGCGCATGACACATTGTGACTATTTGTGGCAAGTATTTACAAAATCCTATCATCAATAAAAAAGATATGGACCGCTGTAATAGACTATGATAATCTTTGACCTTCAAATGTAACCTTGACCTTGGAGGTAGGTGACCGGTTGTTGCGCATGACACATCGTCTCACTATTGTTACTATTTGTGGCAAGTATTTACAAAATCCTTCGATCTATAAAAAAGTTATGGACCGGACACGAAATATACCCTGTTATAGACTATGTTAATCTTTGACCTCCAAGTGTGACCTTGACCTTGCAGGTAGGTGACCGGTTGTTGCGCATGACACATCGTCTCACTATTGTTACAATTTGTTGCAAGTATTTACAAAATCCTTCGATCTATAAAAAAAGTTATGGACCGGACACGAAATATACCCTGTAATAGACTATGTTAATCTTTGACCTCCAAGCGTGACCTTGATCTTGGAGGTAGGTGACCGGTTGTTGCGCATGACACATCGTCTCATTATTGTGAACAATTGTGGCAAGTATTTACAAAATTCCTTCAAAGATAAGAAAGTTACGGACCGGACACGACATATATCATCAAATAGACAATGTTGACCTTGAATGAGCAAGTGCGACCTTGACCTTGGAGTTAGGGGTCTGATTGTTGCGCATGACACATCGTCTTATTATAACAAACATTTGTGCCAAGTTATTTCAGATTCCTTTGATAAATGACAAAGTTATGGACCGGACGCGAAAGTGTGACGGACGGACAGACGGACAGACAGACGGACGGAGCCTATTACTATATCCCCCTTTTTTCTTCGAAAAGGCGGGGGACAATAACAGTTTATGGAGCATTTTCTGGTTTACAGTGAGCATATAGGTTCTGTATAGCTAAGGTATAGCAATGTCATCACAAATAACTTTCTGTAGCATTTATATGTACCTTCTAATCTCCTCTTCTTGTCTTCATCCGTCTCATTGTTATCAGATTTATCTTGAGTGAAATCTTCTTCCTCCTCCTCCATGATAGGTTGTTGAGCTCCAAGATTCTGCATTAACATCTTCGTGTTGTCTTCATACAACTCTCCTGTAATACAAATATGTTTGTTCGTGTTTTGCTGAAGAATTCTTGGCTATTTTTGTAAAACCTTTCTAAGACAAGCTGTATTATGCTTGTCCATATGTTCCTGCATATTAACATACTATTCTGACCTTGAACATATTCTATTTTATAAAATAATACTTTTATATTTTACTTTGCTATAATCTGTAGGTAAGATTCGGTTGTTACGTTTAAAAAATAAATTCAAGTTATTTTATAAATAACTGATTAAAAGTACTGGAAATGTTACTGTCAACTGTTTTAAACACGTTATCGACATGATGAAAACAGACTGGTCTGTTACTTACTTAGTTCACTTGTTACGTGCTATTGATCAGAACAAAAAAATATTCACAACTTAACTATATATTACGTATAAGAATTCAGGAGAGACCTTTTTATGACGGTGAAACTGTCTAACATAACATTAAAATGATTTAAAACGCTACTTCATAATTAAAATAAACTACCTATTTCTGAATGGTCTGATGTACCCACGTTCTTAAATAATTAATTACTGTTGGCATAAACTTACCTGGCGGACGCCTATTAATCTGATACTTGGCAATATTTCGCAGGATAGTTTTCTTTTCTCTGTCGTACAGGTTCATCTGATATTCACCAAACTCCGGAAGTCTTGCTCGGATCAGTTGAATACCATCCTGTTCAATAATATCTACCTGGTGAGCGTTCGGTGGGTCGTTTGCATTTCTTCTATGTAGTGACGCACAAACGTCATCAAAACCAGGCGGTATAGGTATTAAAACTTCATTATCAGAGGTCTGAACAGTTTCAATAGGCACGTGAGTTTGCACGTGCTTGTTTTGCTGCCTTGTGTCAAGTTCATTTGCGTCCAGTTTACGACCTTCTGAATCCACAAGATAAGAATGAATATTGTATATTCTGTCTGAGCTATTCTTAGAGCAGGCAAACACATTCAGTGAATATTCGCCTACTTCTGGCATATCAAGGTCAAATACCCACTTGCCGTTTTCTTCCTTTGATGAAACTAGCATTCTCTTACAAGCTAACTCATCGCTACTATGTAACTCTGTCATCATTTGTAATCCGCTTCTTGCTTGGAATTCCAGCCTTAATCTGCCATTTATAGCGGTCAAACGTCCACCTTTATGACTCAATGCTTTAGCGCCCAAAGCTTCTGCTGCCGGTTTTTGTCCAAGTGATCCGTCACTCACATTCGGGAACGGCAAATTGTTGACATTTTTACCCTCACTTTTTATCAAGTAATTCAAAACGTTCGGAGCGACTCCCTCTTTGCCAGCGTCGTCTGCGTACAATTTCAGGGCGTACTCTCCTCCTTGGGGTAGACGGATATTTACAACAGCTTCCCCATTCTCAAGCCTTGTTACAGCGTAATTACTTAAAGTAGCCTCGTCGATCAGAGCGTGTTTTAGCATTTGATGAAGCTGGATATTCTTTTCAGCTGCTAGCCGAATTTCCACAGAACCGTCTTGTGTGACAATGATAGCGCCATCATGCGTAATAGGCTTGAGGCCGGCCTCCTTTGCGTTTGCTCCAGGACCCCAGCCGATAGGTGGCACATCCGGTAAAGGTAAACAATTTTTCTTTGCTTCATTGCACTGAATAACATACGTACATGCCAAGTCAAATATATCGGACTCAGTTATGTCGAGTCCAAATATGTCCATTTTGAATTTCCCTGTAATAGGAAACCTGAGCGTAAACCTTAACAAATTTGCTGTGTGCTCAAACATCACAAATCTGTCCAATAAAATATCCTCCTCTTGTGTTTTCGCTTTTTGTCCTTGATATAACATGTATTTGAAACGCGAATTTTCGCTTTGCTTAACTGGTAGTGAAAATACCAGTTCTATTTCACCATCTTTTGAAGTTAACATACATTTATCGTGGCTGTTTGGCATGAGTTTCATACCCAGGTAGTGGAAACGTTCTCTGATGTACACGTGCTCTTCATACTCTTTTAGAGTGGCGGGACTGTCTAAAAGCTGCCACTGCATCTCATCAGGAAAGTGGGTCCATACAAGTTTATCCGGGTCAGGGAGAAAGTAGAACTCGTTTATTCTGTGTTGAGTGGTACCCTCTGAAGATTCCTCGTCCTCCTGAATGTGTATAAATCTTAACAGGTGAATTTTACTAAAACAAGTCTTTGAAGGAATCGATTAAATTACTAGGAAATTACAAAATGTAATTAGATTGACCAACTCAAGTTCTAATTATCTTTTTATGTCTAATATTGTAAATGACTAAACTTGAGTTGATCTGATTGCTTTAATTTAATACTTTAAGGGTAAATTTATGTTCTTCGAAATAAACATTTGTATTTGTGCAAAATATATGTGACTAGCGTTTGCATTAAAGTTCGAAAATAAATCAAGTGTAATAAAAACTATGTACTTGCACTTATATATAGCTGTTTATGGAGTAAAATGAATGCTTGTGAATTACAGACTGATAATAGAAATGTTCCATCATAACCTTTTCTATAGAAAATTATAAGTCAAATTTACAACGTTTCGATAATTAGCAGAATGAAGATTTGTGTAGTTCTCGGTTAAAGGAAAAACGTTATTATTGCATGTTAATGATCAATGAGTGTTCAGATACTCTGGACATGAAGTATTTACTATTAAAAGATAAGTTTAAAACGCTGGAGATAATTCGTCAATGAAGTAAGCCACTTAAAGTCGTTGCTTCTTCTCAATGAATTTGTGCAAAGTCATTAATGTTCACACACTGATTTAATTTAATACATGTTGTAGATACGGTACATATATGACTCGCGAACGAATGATGCACTGATGAACACCAATATATCACTTCAAATAAGACAAAAATAGACAAATAATACGGACGACATAAGTCAATATAATTAGTACAAAGTAAACACTATTTTAATTTAATTGGTCGTTTGCATTCATGTTCATTTTTTCCATTTTACTGTACAAAGGTGAGAAATTTTGGCTATTTGTGAATGACAGTTTAATTGAATAATATTGGGGAAACTATTTAGAAAATTTTTAATACGGTGACGTTTTATTTCGTCTCGCTGTTACGAACAAAGAAAGTAATCATAATTAAAATTGCTAAAAATAGATAGATTTTTTCAAAAAAATAAAAACATTTGTAAAGCGTAATTTAAATTTAATGCGGCCATGGTCAGTATGAAAATCACCAATTGTCACGATTTCACTTTTGTGTGAAATAAATTACAGTATACTTCCTTTTGGTAAATTCAACGCCATTTAGCAATGGCTGTAAATGTACCTACCTGTGTAACATTCCCGTCTGAGTCTACAAGAGTCCATTCTCCCGATTTTCTGCCTACCACACAGGCGGACGCCCAGAAAGCATCAAGGAAGCGCCAGTCGTCATTGACGTAGACAGCGTTCCATTGGGCTCCCATACTTTTACGGTCACATCGGCTTCCTATCTCATAAGCAGCACTTTTGTTCATACCACTGATGATGACACATGGTATACCAGCCATCCTGTATCAAACAACAAATCAATGTTACTGTCAAACACAACTTGTTCTCTTATTCGCTAAAAGCACACCATGTAACTCTTTAACTTTCCATACCTATATTGTCCTAGGTGAAGAAATTGATAATGTTTATATAGCAGAAATGTTGCTTTTCAGATATTTCAAATTCTTTCAGAAGTTTTCAAGAAAATAAAAATGTATTTACAGTTTTATATTCAATTGCAATCATGTTTTAATAAGAATTATATCATGTGAAAAGTTGTGACATGATAAGACTTAATTGGTCAACTTACTGGCATAATCCTGATATAAGATGGGCATGGTTACCCATGTTGCATTGTATCTTTGTGAAATATTCAAGTGGTGAATGTGTCGGAGGAACGCCGTCAACCTTTAGGTTGTACACGTCAATTGACGTCACCCAAAGAAATATAGCACGCACCTTGCACATATCGTCCCATCGGTCATTACTTCTTGCAAGATACTTAATTAATTCGTTGAAATTTCCAACAAGAAGTTTAGGAGGTGCCTGAAAATATGAATGTTAAATAGAGCAGCGACCTAATGAAGTTATTTTATAACTCGCTTTCATTTTTTACATAAAAGGTAAAAAATGAGACAATAAAACAAAAACATATAATTCAAAGAGCGGGCGTTTAATTTATCAAAAACTTCTAAAGAACAAAAGATATTCAAACAGCGGGTGTTATAATGCATTATCAACATCTAAAATACAAGATTTACATTGTGATTAAGTAAGATTTGCAGAGTAGATAAAAGATAGACACATTAGTTATATTTGGAGTCATTTGTTATCATGTTTATCAGAGATACATTTCTTAATATCAGCACGTATACTTACATTTAAAACATAGTCGTCAACTTCTTTGTATCTCTCTATCGTAAATATGTCTTTTTTCAATGTTCTTGGCGGTCGGGGTGGTGGTATCTGGGACCGATGGTAGTTTGGGGGATCCCCGGGTTGCGTTGTCCGTGAACCCTAGAAAAAAATTGACGTTCTGAAGTGTTTACATTCGAAAACGATAGATATTGTCAATGTTTGTTTTTCATTTATTATCAAAACAAATTGTATTGATATCATAATACGGATATATATCTATAATTATTGGACGGTTTGACGTACAGCAGCTGACGTCATTATAACACTTAAATATTGATAAGCGATACTATTAAAAGCTTTTTATTCACAAAAACAAGTTTTTTTTTAATAATACAAATAGAAAATAAAATAGAAATGTCTATAATTTATGTCGTTGGAAATATCATCTGTACTTTAAGTAAAAGTACGAAATGGTACTGCTTACAAGAATAAAAAAATCAAACTTGACAGGAAAATTTTCCCGACTCCTTATAAAGTAAAGTGCAACTTTTCCCTGCATATCTCAACACAACTGCACTCATGTAATTCTAATCTACAAACGTTTTATTTTGCTCTTTTTTTTACAAGTCAATCATAGTACTGTGCTTAAATAGAATAAGATCGTTTTTTGGTGATTTCAGTTTATACGAAGCTTTTAACCATTTTAATTTTTATCAGACGTGTAATCAAAACGTGTAATCAAAATATAACATTAACGTTACACCGTAAACCAGTTTAATGCTTGCTTGTGCAGATTTATTACGTTACCTCTGGGTACCACTGATCTACCTTTATAAAGGAAATATAGAGAAAAAAATGAATTCCGTCAAAAAAAATAATTAAAGCTGTAACTAACTTATAAAATGAAAATGATAAAGACACAAAGAGGTATACAGGAAATATAAGACAGTGATATTAAGAATAATGGTAGTATTGATACCAGCTTAGTACTATATACAAAACAACGCATTAATCTACGGACCTGATAAAAGATTTTTAACACAGGGAACTATCACCAACTAAAACAGATCTATAAAAATGTACATAGTTAAACATAACAAGATTTAGTTCTAATGCTATCTAACATAAACGAATAAAATGTTCAAATCATAATCAGTAGGATTAAATTGTACAAACAAATGTATATAGGCACATGGGTACTTTATATCTCCTCAAACTTATAGAAATATTTCAGACTAAGTTTTTCTTTTCTTTTTATTTTTAGACATCAGTTTGATAGTATGTCTTTTATAGCTATTAATATTAATTTTGTAGAGAACATTCAATAAATAATATCTCTCATTTATGTAAAACTGGCTTTATTCTCTATCTAAATATATTAACTTGATATATAGAGAGAGCTTATAAAAACATGCCTGCTTTAAATGGCTTAAGATTAACGAACAATAATCCAATCTCTTCGGGTGACAAGTTGCACATGCAGCAATTTAACTCATGAATCATAAAATATATGTATACAAGCGGTACATGTAAAAACATTACTCTGATGTATAAATTCTGGCCAGCCAAAATTGACCATGGATTGTTCTAAAAGGTCTTCATTTCAGAAATTAAGTAAGATAGGTGTTTAAATAATTCAAATAATATATCGGAGCAGCATCTAAGAAACAATATATTACAATGATACATATCAACCTGAGACAGCTTATAAAATGTAACAAATGAACTTCCAGCATTTGCACACCGTGCTGATTTTATTATATAATATATACAATTGAATTGAAATTTTATCAACTTAAGCATCGGTATAAAAACGTATCAAATATCAATATTGTACTATATCTGGCCTCGTTTTCATTTTCAAAGCCCACGAGTTCCATATCAAATTCATAGTATATACAAAGTAATTATATCTTTTATATAAAATACAAAAACACTGCTGATTTTTTTAGTGTTCCCTTCTGTTTCATGTGTTTTCTTCTTTAAAATTTCTGGTATGAAATTAGGAGTCATTTATACATTGTCTAGTACAATATTGGTTCTGTTGGACTCAAACATAGCTGCAAAACCTATATTGGACTCGACCTGTACCTCATTCAATATAGGATCAACTGTTGTGTTCTCATCCCAGAGAATTCAATATGGTACTCAATAATGTATCATATTCCCATAATACACCAGACATGGTATCTTTGCTTGTAAGAATATCTTTCAGTAAGAATCATCCTATATTATAATCAGTGTGTTGTTTACATGTGTAATATCTAAAATAAACATAAATGACCTATGACTAGAACATATTCTAACATCAATTGAAAGCTATCCCAGAAAATACAAATCACTTTTTGTTGTTGTCCACTCTTATACCGATTTAGAATTGCACCATGGAAGTTATCCTGGTCGTCGACTTCTTCCTGGTTTGACTATGTAAATATACATCTGTTAAATTTTAACTATTTACCATGAACGAATTAACTGAATGAGGAGAAAGGGGAAGAGGGAACTTTTTAAACATCTTAACAATGACCGAATGATAAATAGCATTTAAATAATGCTTGTATACACAGCGTTTGCTGTAATCACTTTTCACAAATGTGTTCTTTTAATCTTTCATAAACTCAGGTTACATAAGACGTATAAGCAACCCGGACATACAAAATAAGCATGCCAATACCATTCAAACAAAAATACTGTTAAATACGGCGGGTACAACTACATAACAAAAATACAATGAGGGATTACAAATAATACACATGCTGGGGTCCATATAAAGTTATACACGATCTGTGCACCGTCGGCTAACACCGGCACTATGATTTTTATAAATGCTGCCTAAACCTTAGGAACACATATTTTTCTTACGAATTTAAAAAGAACAAAGCATGCATTGCTTTTTTTTTCGAAAAGTTATTATGATAACATTTAGAAGATATTTAGAAGATAGTGCAACGCTGGCTGCCGACGGACGCACTGCGTGGATAGGAAGCAATCGACCTACCGACGACGAAGTCGTGGGCTTTTCTCGCTGTTCGATGTTTTGATTAGCCTACGTTAATTTAAAAAATATATATACACACAGTGATTTTTTTTTATTTCAATCAATATTGATAAAGAAACAACACTTTTAATGGCAAGGCCACTGTTTCACTATACAGGAATAAACGATAAAACTTTACTTTAGTATATTTATTTTAAGAATAAAATTTTCATTTTTATAGCATTTTCGAAAACTCAATCTCATTAAAATCAGATCATCGTTTTCGCTCCGTTACTTTCGCTACTAGCAAAGGGTAGTGGAGCGACAGTTAGGATATGATTTTAATGAGATTGTCGAAAACTTGACATTTGACACATACTTTTTATGTTCTTTCGTTTAAATTACAGTTAGTATAAGAATTATAGACAGATTCAAGTGAGGAAAGTATCAAGTACATCTAGTGTTATTCGGTTCAACATTCACTCCATGCATACAGATACATAGCTATTTTACTTATGTTAATAACAAACTACTCCCAAGTTAATGTCACATAGTTTTTAAGTTAATTCAATCTATATGTATAATTATTATGTAACACACCGTGCCCTGAATACAATCTAAGCTCAAGAATACATATAAATCTTAAAAATCGAGATCGATAGGTCTGCCGTAGATACATTACGTACCATTGTTGTTTTTTCCTTACGTAGGCCGTTCAGCTGTTGGTAAATTATGTGTAAATCAATTTCAAGAAAATGTAACATTTTAGCAAGTAAAAAAGATATGCACATATTTCTAAACGCTTCGGCTTCTATTTATACTTTTTATTCAAAAAAATTCTATTCGCACAAACGATTGCAAAGAATAAAAATGATAAAAAATGAGAAACATCCACAATCGTTTGTGGTACGCATCAAAGTTATCAAATAAATTCAACTTATAATATACCTTACCCTAGCACTCATTTTAGTCCAAAATTAACTTGTTTTCACAGACTGTTCATTTGTGATTAATTAGCCCTAATTTGAAACAATAACAATGTGAGCGAAATAACATGTCTGAACAAAAGTAAACACTGCAGGAGGCCAGTCAAGGTATTCCGTATACACAAATTTATGATTTATTAATAATGGATAAAAAATAGAAACTTAAACAAAAATCAACTAAATTAAATGCCTCTTAATTGTTACAAGGCATTATTTTTTCTAAACTTAAAACGACATATATAAAGATAAATGCATCAAAAAAATCTTATGATATATTTCTAAATGAATATATATTTGTATCTAATATCCTAACACCCTTCCATAATTTAAAAAAAAAGTGAAATATCTATTTCTGTAGTACTGACTAAACGGTCCTTTTTTCTTTTGTTTTTAAATAAATATTTGCTCAACCGAAACAGCTATCTGATTAGCCTTACAGACCCTGTATTATATCTAAAATGAAGCGATCAGTAGATCGACATTCTCTCCGACAACGCGAAAGCAAACATTGTAGAATTTCTCTTTTTTGAATGATCAAGTTTGACACTTCTCAATGTAACTAAATACTGCTATCTTTCAGTCGGTTTTTTATACTTATTGTTTTAAAGTCGTCGTACAGGTTAACTAAACTGTTTAGCCATAATTGCGATTATTTATACGTGATTAATTCTTTATGAATCATAATCAGTAATTTACAAATTATAGAAAAAAATGCGGTAGAACTATTTTTCGATCAATACTCGTGTTTAATTAGTTAATTGATTTTCATTATGTAAAAATGCTGTATCATAATGGAGACCCGCTGATTTAAACGCTGTTTTCGTCACAGATATAGACCTAAGAGAATAAAATGTCAAATTTTACCTTACATATTATTTTTAATGCCATACTTCACATGAAACATAATAAGATAAAAAATATATCACGTACTGCTGACTTTGGGGGTGCCGATTGACTTGATGTCCCATTCATCACAGATTTACCGGTGGCAGGGGATGTTCTTGGGCGGGATTGAACCACAGTCCCACCGCCGCTAGATGCTCCAGCTCCCATGTTGGTTTAGAGTTTATGTGTCACGCTGCCATTACAATACGTCTGAAAAAAACAACACATGATTTAAAATAGGAGTCATTATTTAACAGAGGTATAAAAGTAAGAAAATTACATGTGCTCTTGTGAAATATTAATTAAATCAGTCTCTATACACAATAAGTCAATCACCATTTCTTATATTCCCTCTGTCATTTCGTTGTTAGTCTATTCGTATTTTCTGACACTATTCCAAATTATATATATAAATACAACAATGTACACATTGTTATTTATTGAAGTAATTTACAAACAAGTTTTATTACTTTATACATACTTTACAGTACTCTTAGTCTATTATCCCTCATAGTACTTTAAGTTTTGAAAAATCATTAAAAGTTCCATTAGCATTCATTAACAGTGTTCCCTGTTTTTATCTTAGACAAACTTATGTATTATAAAATACACTATTAACTGGACACCTTCATGAATAATTCCTGAATCTTATCAGTTGGTTGACTGTTAGTTATTGATTTAACTTTTAACATCACGTGTTTAAATGCTTTAAGCCATATCAGTTCATATGGCGAATTTTGAAATATTTCTGATATAAATAAAGTTCGCGCGTGTAAGAGGCGCACGAGCTCTGTATTTTGGCGTATCGTTTATCTGGCAGCGCTTGATAATCCATTAATATTAAAGAAATGTATTCAGCAACATTAATTATAAACTAAGCTAGCAGATCTTTTTCTCAGAATGTTTTAGCTATAAAAGGAACAGGTAAATGATTCAGAAAGACTAAACCTCGACTTTAATCTATATGCGATAACAAATACAGCAAGAAAAAGACTGATTTCCCATTTCCTCTCGATATATAAATGAGCCGCGTCACGACAAAACCAACGTAATGCGTTTGCGACCAGCATGGATCAAGACCAGCCTGCGCATCCGCGCATCTGCTGTTCGCTTACAAACCCTATTACAAGTAGAGAAACTGATAGCGAACAGCATGGATCCTGATCAGACTGCGCGGAGGCTCAGGCTGGTCTGGATCCATGCTGGTCGCAAACCCACTATGTTGGTTTTGTCGTGACGCGGCTCAAATATATGTCTATATGTTTCTAATGGTACTGGTACAGACGAGAACTCTGCTTTATTGATTAGGTACATATTTGAAATTATCAAAACTACTTCTTAAGTTCGTAGAACAATGGGTTTCTTAAAAAAATTATATGTATTTTTTTTTTTCAAAAAAAGATAATCATAGTTTGGTGTAACGTTTGTATTAATTAGAATAAATTATGAACTCTATGAAAAATTTCGCTAAAAACAGCGTGCATCTAGATTTAAAAAAGTTCGATTTTATATATCAAAATAATTTTACCTCTATGATTGATAAAAAATATACTTGTTTTGATTACTGACAGCTCCTTATTAAGTACCAGTATCAAAGAGTAAATACTGTAACAGTGCTACAGGTGTGCGCCATGTGTTCGCCTGGCGCTTCAGGTGTACCTCTTATTTAACTGCGTAAAAAGTGTTTGTATTTGTGATTGTCATTTAGAAAATGTGTTCGCAAGCATTCAGTTGATAATAAATCATCTTATGTCACCGTCATTTTATATACATGTATATATCAGATCAAATTAGTTGTTTTTATCAAAACATGATAATCTGTTAAAATTAAATGACAAACATCTTTCAATCAAATATCAACATTGGATTACTTTTGTACAAATACCTTTTTAACAATTTTTTTTTGTGGATTACATTTACTCTTGCTATCTCTTTGTTTAATAATCGAACATGCTTAATATGTTTCTATGTAGGCTTAGACAATAACTCATTGCTTTTAATGCATATAGCATCACTACAAAAATGCTTATTTTGAGTGCTCTTTGAAAAAAGGAAAAAATCTAAGCCTTATACTAACTGACATTTAAGAAATAATATCAGTCTTAGCAGTGTTTGTTGGCTATTTAACATCGGTTCGGAGCTTTGATGAGTATAGAACTGAACTGACCACGAAGGCCGCAGGGTCAAAATGCTTGTTGAAGGGTCAAATTGACTAGCAGTCAATAAAACTTACTGGTATTTGTTTATAAGATCATGCCTGGCATATCATAGCGAATCTTATTGAGAAACATCCCCTTAAATCAGTAATTGTTGGAAACATAACAACAGATTTAAAGATCATTTACACATTATACAACAAAGGATTGTTAATTAAATGCGTTAATTTATGATATCAAGAAACCATCTTACTGACGTATAGAAATGACCGTGATACTATACCCAAAGCTGCAGTCATAATAAGTCTAATTTGACGGGTAAAATGAAAAATATATGTAAAATGAAGCTTAAAGCCGGAGATATGTTCACACTAGTTTCTCAAAAGACATAAAATAACTACACACGCCCTAACAGCTAGCTTGGTCGAACTACGATTTTCCTGTAAGAAAATGTGAAAGAAATAAAAGAAATTTGTGTGCGCAATGATTGATAGAACCGGAAATCGCACACCCGATATAAGACGAAACACCAATATGCTAAATGTGGGCGTTGTGAAGGCGTGGATATGAAACCTATCGCACGCCCCCACCCATCCCAATGGCGTTAACTGTAAACTACTGCATGTACAGATTTTTCAACAAAATATGTATTTCTTAACATGAATGTTGACCTTATGTGAAGGGTAAAAAGGGAATTATTGACAGTGATTTTGTTTGAAGCTGTAGCAATAATTTCTACGGTAATGTGGTGTTCGATAGATTTTCTGATTAATTATTTAAATGACTATCGTAAAAAAACAAGTGTCTATCTTGATGTACGTTACCAATGATTTTAAATGAAAACACTACAACAGTGTTTACATGTCTAAGATACTGTGCCTGAACGTTCAACGAGAAAAAATATATTGACATTTCTTCTGGTAATCATACATATATACATACATACATACATACGCGCGCAAGCTCGCACGCCCGCCCTTTACCTATATAGCTATTGGTATGGCAGCATGCTCGACTAATAGTAAAACAAGAGTTTGAAAAATGTAGAATCTTATAAGTTCAAAAGAGTCATAATTATGTCAAAATCCATAATAAAGTTATGGGCCTCGTATTCTCTCAAATAAATGAGTGAAGTTTCAACCAATTCCCTTCATAATAGGTTTGGGGATACTAACTTGCAAGCAAAAGCTTAACCTAAGTGTAACAGTGGCGCCGACAGCGACGCCGATGCCTGCATTCGAGCTAAAAAGCAAAGAGATTGCATGTAAGTATGTATATAGTTATCGACAAGTGTTGCTATTTAAACTTGGTATTCTAACAAACATTTCCATTAAAATATTCAATTCTATATAATGCAACCACTTTAACATAAATGAAAACTACTTAAAACAGTGAAAATCAATCTTTTTTTGTTTGAATTTTATCATAGATAAGGTTATATTTAAACAGGCATCAGATACATTACATAACAAACCGGCCAACAATGGTCCGTGAATTTGGGCCTACATAGATAATTGAGTTCTACCTTGTAGTCACCTTTAGGGTCACTAAAAAGGTATTTTGGATTGAAATTTAAGAAGTTTAAATCTGACTTATTGATCGTTACAGTGACTTAATGTGTTTACGATTTTGATTAATTTTAAGCGTAATATACAAATGAGCCGTGTCACGACAAAACCAACATAATGCGTTTGCGACCAGCATGGATCCAGACCAGCCTGCGCATCCGCGCAGTCTGATCAGGATCCATGCTGTTCGCTTACAAACCCTATAACAAGTAGAGAAACTGATAGCGAACAGCATGGATCCTAATCAGACTGCGCGGATGCGCAGGCTGGTCTGGATCCATGCTGGTCGCAAACCCATTATGTTGGTTTAGTCATGGCGCGGCTGAAATTATCGAAGTCTTTTGTTGAATTGTAAGTTCCCTGTATTGGTTATATTTAATGTATATTTAGCAAAAGGAACTTTAATTTGTAGTTGAAATTCTTATTTTTGAATCCGCTTTTATTTGTCTAGCTTGGTTATATAAAACATTTGAAGTAATCAGCGTTAATTTATTCTTAATGTCGAGGTTAAATGCTTTTGGCCACAACTCCACAACCACATTATAAATATTTATTTATGAATCAAAAAAGTCATTCGCATGTCAAAACCCATAGATATAATAGTTGAGAAATCAAATTACCTACCGTATAAAGTACCTATTGAATACTTGATAAATATTGAAGTAAAGTAAACTTTTATGTTGTAAAACCCTACCAAAACATTTTGACTACAAGAGAAAATAAACAGTAATGTTGTGTCACAGACAGGTAAGTTTAATATTATTAAGATTAATCTAATCCGTAATCAGGCGTCATCTTGTGTCCAGTAACAATATATCGTGTACGGTTAATCATGTACTATGACGCATATTTGATAACCATTATAGGTAGAAAAAATAGTTTTCAACTTTCCTTTAAAACGCTCGATTAGTTTACGGACGTATTTTGCTGGTTGATGAACTTGTATTATGCTAGTATTGAATGTCCTGTTTTTCTAACATTTCGTTTTTAATAACAGATTTTAGTCATAAAGGAACAAATAAAATTCGAAAGTTAGTTCCGGTTTGGGCATAAAGTTTTGCAATCACCTCTTTGACTTTCATTATAGATCACAAATATACATAATTATATCATTCCTTAAGAAATATTGCAGTAGGTTTTAAGTCTAAACAGATATTTTAGCTGTAGATTTGTAGACACAATGTGCAGTAAATGCATGATAAGTTATAAAGCCCATACCGACCCTATCTTTGGAATTAATCACTACCTGTCACAATTTGTATAAAATATTTATGCAGACTTAAAACTTGTACAATTCCTCAATACTTCTTGATAAACTCTATACCCATGAACTAGCATATTCCCGTCGGCTTACTGATAAAAAGTTACCTTTGTCAATATTCTTTTTTTTCCATATCAGTTGTAAGTATTAATACAGCAAACTTTATAAAGTCAGAAGAAAAAATACTAAAAACGTACTGCAAATGGAGAAATATATCCTTAATACTAGTAAATATGGTTTCCATCTAAGATTAAAGTTTCAATATAGAAATATGGGGAATAATAAACATGTTTTTACTACGCGTGAATATTTCATGGCAAAATGCTTTTATTTCTATTTATCAAAAAGCTCTTTCTTATTATTTCAAGTTGAAATGATGAACATAAACCATTATATGCTGAACTATCTGAGGCCTTTTTATCATTAGAAAAGTTCAAGTGATTTAGTATGGAAGATGTAGTACCACTTTATTCACGTCTTGCTACTTTTATGGCAAAATATTTCAGATTAAAGTAATAAAACATATAACATGCTGGAAACCCATTTTTAACAGATAATTAAAACACATGATTGCCGTTCCTTCATCAGAGAAAAAAAGTATTCAATTCTGACCCTTTCAAAAAATATCTTAAAGACCTATGAGTAGAGTACTACGGAAGCGCTGAGGGGACATTATGACGTAACAGTCGGTATTCAAGACGTGTACATATATTATATTGATTCATACTAACAATCATAATTATGGTGACATATTTCTGCAACCATATAATCATATAACTAACTAGTTAATTAAGAGGTTAAATAGTTACGTAACTAGCTAACCTCTTAATTAACTAGTTAGTTATGTGGTTAACTAGTTACGTAACTAGTTAATTTTTTCAATAAATAAAAGATCATAACGGGAAATAAATGCATGTTAGTGCCTAAAACTGCTATTCTTTTATTATTTTACCAGCTTAATATTAAGAGGTTAACTTGTTACGTAACTAGTTAACCTCTTAACTTACTAGTTAATTAAGAGGTTAACTAGTTACGTAATTAGTTTACCTCTTAATTAACTAGTTAGTTATGTGGTTATCTGGTGGCAGAAATATGCCACCATACAGTCATGTTTAATATATTAACTTAAAAGATATGAAAGATTTAGACGACAGCACTGTTCATTAAACAATCCACATCAGAAGCACACTTAATGTAAATTTACGGAAACAGTATATGTAATAGGCGTGTATATTAAAATCAACTATTGTGCAAATATATAATGACGTTCAACGACGAATTAACATGATATATTTGGAGTAAGAAGTTTAATGGATTAATTAAGTTTCGCCACTTTAATCCGGGTCAGTGTTTACTGAAATAGAAACACGTTTACTCTACATAAGTCTAAAATAGTTTTACCATTCTTGAAAAGAAATAAATATATAGTGTTCAAGAGTCCAAAATGAGTATAACTCATTACTTTAGTTAAAACATGCTGACATATTAAAGATCAATCATGCAGCTTGTTCCTATCCCCTTTTATGTTATGTTAGTGACATTTATTTATTTATTTATTTATTTTTGTCATCATCAGAATTCAAAACGTTTCAAAAGACAATAATTATTATAGTCAATGTATTCTATGATTTCGTGACATCGTTAATATACGTAAATAATTTATGCGGCAAGAACGTTATATTTGCACACGACTATTTATTTTCTTTTTTTCTTCTTTTTTTTCTGTAACCCGAAAACACATTTCATGATTTGTGATGTAGACTATCGACGAACAGCAGGATAAATAAATGGATGTCCCTTTTCATTTGGTTGATTTTCTTATCTTCATTAATTCATGAAGCTGTAGAGCCGATGTAAATATACTGTAAACAGACCTATAATTCTCATTTACTCGGTGTAGATTAACCAATAACGACAATAACTTAAAATCACTATCAAAGTTAAAATACAAAATATACCTGTAAATAATTATGGATGATAAAATCTCCTATTTTAAACCTGTTTTCACAAATACTCCTTGTACACTATTTCGTTTTATCTAGACAGCAGAACGTGAATAAATGAATATAAGTCTGTTATCTGAAAAATACGGTTAGATCACTTGAAACAGTCGCTCTATTTGATCGATAGTCGATGTACCCGTTAAACACGGTGTATGTCCCTAATTAAAGAATAACCGATCTGCGTGAAGCTTTGTTTAGACATGTTTATATCAACAATGGAAAAAGAAACAGGATCGACCAAAGATTTAAAACCTTTTAACAATGTGCTTAATCAGTCGTAACAAAAAGTCCATTTGCATTTAATCTCAATATAGTTACGTGTTGTAAACAATACTACATTACTGTATATATTTATAACACTTCAATTGATTGATTTATTTCTTTAAAAAAAAAAGAGTTTATTTGTGACCTAAAACAAATAAAATCATATGGCAGTAGTTTGTGAATGCACTACGTCCTTTGAAAAAAAAATGCAACGCATACATATCCAACCGAGTTATATATTCAAGTTAAAACAATGAAAGCCTTTGAATTATTGTTTAAACAGCAATATCCATGTCAGCATTTTACAACAATTCAAAAAACTTCCACATATATATTTTATTATCAGTTATACACATTTTTGTTTGGTTATATGGTCCTATATAATCGGATGTATGTGCATACATATTTTATTGCAAATAACCGTTTATATACGGCCATATAATTACGTTGGGAATCATTATAACGAATGTATTTTTAAATACTGTATTTTTTTTTTTTGTAAGAGAAAAAAGTGATTGATTATGAAATCCTTTCTATGGTTTGTTTGTCTGTTGTTTTTTTTTAGTTTATTTATACTCGGCGCCGGAATTAATCATAATTTTGTCCGAGAATGTAGCATCCTTGCCGGTCCACTATGGTAGTCTCATCGGGGACGTCTTTTTCATGCTGAATCTTCTGGTAGCCCGTTCTTCGTTCAGTGGTGGTGAAGGAGTCGACAATACTGCCAAGGCATCAGCTTTGCGACTAGCGATAACAAAAACGACCCTTGTTAACGCCAACCCTCCATAGTTAGTCACGACAGGTTAACCAATCATCTCTGGTACTTAAGGTGACTTGACCTGCCGTGTGCCTTATCCGCGACGTGCACACCTCTGGAGGGATATGGAGAAGCCTTTCTATGGTCATTCGCACTATACCTTTATAGTGGCCGATTTGCGCTATGTCGTATTTTCGCTCCAAATGGCGCCGAAAGAAAACACGATACGACAGTCAACATTTTGTCGTACTTTTGCTCCGCGGGGCACAATGCGAAAACACAATGCATTTATATATTACCACAGTCACTACTTTGTCATACTTTCGCTCCGTGGGCGCATAGTACGACAAAGTCGCCACTTTGTCGTGTTTTCGCTTGGTGCCGATGACTCTGCGTGTTTTCGCTTAGCACCTGGCGGAGCGAAAATACGACATGACGATTATAGATTACACTTCTGCTCCAGCATGTACAGAAGTGACCAGTTCCTTGCGAAAGTGAAGGCACTAATACTGGTAAACTGCTTGGCAACCTGCCAAGAAACGATGTGATGGCTAAACTGTGCTCTGGTGAATTAAGACTTAATTTAAGAGTGACTTGCTCCTGTGATCACGAGGGTAAAAGTACCAACACCACACGAGACTGTTTCTATACTTTCATTCACCAGCAAGTTAGAACCGATAAACCTATACAATGGACAAAATAGTCCGTATACTTTGGGATGGATAAGAAGGAACCGATACATATTTTTATGGAACTGATATGTTTATCAAATAGTAAAGTAATTGCTTTATACCTCGTGACTGTAACATGACAATGAAATTACCCAATTTACCGACTAACAAGCGTACAAGATATGCGGCTATGTAATTAACGGTGTAAAATGATATCACAAATCAATCCAACCTCTTCAACAAATAATTTCTGTTATATATTGCACGAAATGGATAAAATTTAACGGGTGGTCAAACATTGCTTTTTTCAACTTGCTGTTGTCTTAATAATAATATTAGATCTGCTCAATATAAATCCGGTGATGTCATCATATGTAACCTAAATTCACCTTTAGGCTTATCATTTTAAAATTAGCATCAGTCACTTCCATGCTTATTGCTCAGCAATAAAAGTGTGCAATATCACAAAGGTTAAGACTGTATTTTTTTTTCTTTCTTAGTTTTGTTCTTCAGCGGGTCTGTGAACATCAGTTTAACATGCCTTTGGAATTTGATCCATTGTTCAGGAAGATTTGACGCGCAATTAATCAAACTACAAAGGCATGTTGAACTGATGTTCACAGGACCGCTGAAGAACAAAAATAAGACAGAAAAGATATCTTATTTGTTGATCTGGGTCGGTTACAAGTGCAGAGACATACACGTGACATGGGAACCCTTCACTGATGACGATGCTGAAAATCTACATGTAACATAGCTACTATAATAAAATCAAACCACATGTTCAGCCGTCATTGAAACCCAATATTCGCAAGGTATAAATTTGGCAATGAAGTGCAAGGCACAGACAGTATCGATGCATTAATCACAAGATTACAATTAAGCGCCACAAATTGTAGCTTTAAAGACAAAGACGAAATGATTAGGGACATAATTGTTTTTGGGACTAATAATTCTGGAAAAGTGCGTAAAAAGTTGATCAACAAAAGCGAGGGATTAACACTCGAAAATGCTTTTCAAATCGCAGAAGCCTATGGATATGCACAGATACAACTTCAGTCAATGACAGCAGCTAATGATATACACGCAGTAAAGCAACACAAAACCAAAACTTAAAGGGCATAAAAAACAATCATTTCAACAACCTTAACAACAGCAACACAATTAACCATTACACTCAAAAAAAAGATACATGTAGAAGAAAGCCACTTAAATTTCAACGCTGTGGACAAAATACTCACAGACCAGGGTCGAAACGTCCAGGTGTTACTCATGTGGACAGCAAAATCATTTTGCAAGTGTTTGCCGATCTAGAAATAGAAACTGACAATGTGAAATATTCTGGATACAACTATAGTGATTGTGTCAATTCGGAAAACAGGATTATTACATATATATAGATATGGTAAACCCTTCATCTTCTACTCCTGATCGTGCCTTTGTAAACCAATTAATGTCGGTCCTTCTCATATTCCTGTTAAATTTAAGATAGATACTGGGAGCGCGGCTGATATTCTAACCATTACGCCATTATAAGAAATTAATAATAAATCTGTAGTTGAGCTACAACAACAAGACTAGCCAGTCATTATGCTAATATGTTGTTGATAGACCGACAGTCTCGCTGCTAAGTTTGCAATCATCTGTGAACTTAGGCCTGATGAATCTCACGTATTCAATAGACAGGTCAAATACAGAATTACATAAACAAACGGTCGTGTCAGAGTATGGGAACTTATTCCAAGGTGTAGGGTTCATCCAAGGTGAATTAAGAGTGATGCTGTTCCTGTAATAAGTGCCTGAAGCTTTAAGGGATATGTTACAAAACTCCAGCACATGGAAAAAGATGGCATAAGACAAAGGTCACTGAACCTACGGACTGGGTAAACCCCCTTGTCATTGTTGTAAAACCAACGACAGGTAAACTAAGGGTTTGCCTTGATCAAAAAGCTACAAATGAGGCTATAAGGCGACCTCATCATCCAATACGCACTATTGATGACGTGACATCAAGGCTGACTGATGCAAAATATTTTAGCATATTTGACATAACACACGCATACCAGTTGGATCACCAAACTTTTAGCACAGCGTTCGGCAGATACCGTTGGCTGAGACTCCCATATGGCATATCTGCACCGAGTGACATATTCATGCAAAAAGTAGATGATTTTTTTTTTGAAGGACTATGCCTACAGGGTCTCACAGCCATAATAGATGATATTTTTATATAGGAAGACACGTGAAGAGCATGGCGCAAACTTGCGTAAAGCCCTTGAACAAGCAAATTCAAAGGGAATAAAGTTCAACCTAGACAAGCTTGTGTATAATCGGAGTTACGTTTAAGTTTTATTTTCAACTAGGCCCATATGGGCATCAGTTTTGTAAATGTAACAGGGTCTTATTTTTAGGATCAGGTCCAAGGGACAATACTCTTGCTTTACTGTTGGATTTTATAATTTAGCAAAGGGAGACAAATCCGTCGGTCTTGTCTGATACCTTTCAAGGGAGACTACTCTATTGGTTTTAACTGATTTTAGCTTATGTTTATATTGGTCAGTATTCTAAGAATTCAAATGATTGGTTCACGGATCGTTGGTTTTAAGTTATTTTTATGTCATGTGACTTATTGGTGGGAAAAAGTCATTGTGTCTTTGTTATGTTGTAAAAGAGAGGTCAGAAGAATTAGTGTTTGTGGTCAAGTTCTTTATTTCCTAAGTTGGTATGTATTTATCCTGACTGCTGCTAAATGCTTTATTGTAAATATGTAGAATTGCATTATTGTGATTCTGTTGTATTTTGGTTCAGTCCATTGATTGTGAAATTTGTAAATAAGTATGAGTTTCAGAATGACATGTATCTATCAAATCACCTTTCATCTTTTATTCACTATTAATATTTAACCTTGCAGTTAACAGTCACTGGTGTGAAAGTAAGAGAAGGTATTAGGTTATAGATTGATGTACTACACTCATCCCTCAGATGGTAAGTTACATGTGTGATGTATTGTGTATTGTTTAAAAGGTAAAATATGTTAATTGTGTGTATAATTCCATAAGCTATGATATTATATTTAAGGACTGTTGCTGAGTTTAAAGAACTGAATTGGCCACTAGACATGTAATTGATTATGTAAGATATGATAATAATTAATGCATTGTTTCTACTTTATTTTACTTTATATTTACATATTGTTATATACTTATTTCAGAGTGTTGTTGGTTTGTACCTTAACTTGATGTAACCACCATACAGTAATTGAAGAATGGATTGGAATATATAAATGATATAACTGTAAAGCTGTTTGTTGAAATGATTTAATAATCCCGAACTTACTTGACCCTCAGGGGCTCGGATAGTTATATTTTAAATTGCGCCGAACCACCCCTATTACATAAACAGCAAAAATTCACAAACAAATGAGCATTAACAACAAAATAATACAAATGTGTAAATAAAGCATGTAGACAAAATAATTTGCATGATAAATACAAGACTAGATAAATATAAGACTAGAGATATTTATGAATGACTTAATAGAGATGAGAGACTACAAAGAGATAAAATACTAGATCTAGTAGTAGTAACATTGCATATTAGTTACATAATTCAACCGCACATTGAAAATTCCTGACCGAAAACAAAAATGAAGTGAATACGCTGTTATGGTGTTACCACAACATGGGGCCCATGAAGCCTGTACTGTATACGTAACCACATATTGCCGTACAATTAGTTCAAGGAAGTCCCATTCTTTGGACACATACTAACATCAACAGGATTATTATATAAAACCGGCTACTTGTAAAATAGAGGCAATAAAAAACATCAAAATACCAGAGAATAGACGGCAACTTGAAAATGTTCTTGGCCTATGGCAAACGCGAGCTACTTCCTTAACAGAAAAGTAAAATATACTTACATAGCAGTAAGTGAAGGATCACCTAAATTCACATTTCACGAACACTTGAAACAGATAAATGGCAGTATCAATATTTACTTTTCTCGTTACTGATGTCATCATAGATGACGTCATTAAGATTCTTCCTTTTTGCTCCGTGGTCCGTTTTGCTCCGTGTTCCGTTTTGCCCGGTCTGTAAATGTAAAATCAATCTTAATGCATTATCCACTCATGTAAAGTAAGCAACTATTATTGACCTATCTAAACGTGATGGTCATCATGATGATCGATTAAAATATCGCAGTTAGTTTTGCAGTATCCAAGAACGCTAAATTTTCGACCAATGAAAATAAAGCTTGTA